CAGAAATTCCTGCTTTAGTCTCTTCGTTCGCTACACACACACATGTAATGCTAAGAAGCAAAACCAGAAAACAAAAGACACGTCGCAGCAACATGATAAGACTTACCTTTTCTTTTTAGGCTGCTGAACTTGTTAAGGAAATAAATAGCAAGCGAAAAAAGTCATCGTAGACAAATAGTTAAACAATGAAATACGGCATAAAAAAACAAAATATGAGTTACCCCACCCACACCACAAAAAAAAGACAACAATCATTACGAAAAATAAAAAAACCAATAAAGTGACACCACTCAAAGAACCACCAGCAAACTGGAAAAAAAAGAAAATAAATGGAGAAACATCGTCCCCCACTAAACAACAAAATCAAAAGAGAAATTCGGTTATGTTTGAATTCTTATGCAATTATGAGTACAAGTTTATCTGTTATTCTTTTTTGTTTCTGCAGAAAACATATCCCCACAACGGTGCAGGGCAAAACACACAACGCACCAGCAAACCACCAGCAAACAAACAAACAGATACTAACCACTAGCCCAATTTACCCAGTAAACACAGAAATACAACAACTATGGGTGTAAGTCTATATGTGTATGTATATGCAATTATAAATATAAATTCATCTGTTATTATTATTTCTTTTTTCCTCTCACTACAAAAAACAGTTCATCATCATTATTACAGTGCAAGCCCAAGCACAAAGAGAGACTTAAAGAATACACACACAATACCCCATGGCTCTAGTTTATGTACTAAATTACTCCACGCACACATCTGTGTGTACTAGCAAGAGATGTATACCGTCAGTGAGCAGAACAGCCCAGTTTTCTGCAAACACACAACGGAAAAAGCAAGTAATGGAATTATTAGAAAAAAGAACATACACATAAGAGCAAAAAAAAAAGATATTCCAATTAAAAGAGAAAGCTGGTAAACAGATTATTAATGCATTCACCCATGAGGGATGTACGCAATTATGGTTTTGTTAGTTTAACCATTATTATTATTTTTTGCTCTCAAGTG